ACTCTCTGTGATTCTGTGACTTTGTGACTCTGATTCTGTGACTCTGATTCTGTGACTCTGTGACTGTCTGACTCTGTGATTCTGGGACTCTGTGACTGTGATTTTGTGACTGTGACTCTGATTCTGTGATTTTGTGACTCTATGACTCTGATTCTGTGACTCTGTGATTCTGTGACTCTGATTTTGTGACTCTGTGACTCTCTGTGATTCTGTGACTCTGACTCTGTGATTCTGTGACTTTGTGACTCTGATTCTCTGACTCTGATTCTGTAACTCCGATTCTGTCCTTTGGTGTTCCCAGCAGCAGGCAGAGCTCTTGGAGGTGTAGGTGAGGTGTAGGTGTGTCAGAATTGTTTTGGTGCCTGTTAAATGTGCAGAACTGGGATCTCCCAGTGCTCACAGGAATCAGGAGGAGGGGATTTTCCACAAGAAGTGATAGGACAAAGGGGAATAGCCTTAAACTGAAGGAAGGCAGGTTTAGGTTTGGTAGATTGGAAGGAATTCATCCCTGGGAAGGTGGAGAGGAGCTGGGATCCCTGGGAATGTCCAAGGCCAGGCTTGGAGCAGCCTGGGATGGTGGGAGGTGCCCCTGCCATGGGAACAAGAGGAGCTTTAAGGTCCCTTCCACCCCAAAACCATTCTGGGATTCTGTTTATGGATTCTGTTTATGATTCTGAATCCCATCACTCCGTGCTGCTGCCCTGTGTGCGCACATTTGCGCTGTTCTGTACCTGAAATTCATCCCTGTGCTGGTTTGTGACCCCCTCCCCTCCTCTTTCCCAGTGAGGATGGGATGTCAGAGAGGTCCAGCCCGAAATCAGAGATAGAAATCAACTCGGAGCCACCAGAGGAGAAGGTGACRGCCAGAGCTGGCGCCAGCTGCCCGAGCGGGGGCCACGTCGCCGACATTTACCTTGCAAACATCAACAAGTAAGAGCAGCCTCGGTTGTTTCCAGCCTTGCCTCGTTTTCCCTGCGTGTGAAGAGCTCACTGATGAGCCCAGTGAGATGTTCCCTTTCCCGGGAAAGGTTCATTAACGAGCACTGACTCCATTTTTTCTCTGCTTTCCCCCCTTTTCTAACTCACTCACATTTTGCACATTTTGCTGTCCCCTCTCTGTGTGGCCATCGCTCTTTTAAACCCTTCCCTGTCCCCAAGGTGCCATCTGCTCGTGTTTGCCCTGTTTTAGGAGCTTTAGGCAGAGGAGGGCAGGGCAGTGCTGGGATGAGCTCTGGTGTCATTGTCCCCACCCGTGATCGTGTCCTGTGTCACCCATCCCGTCTCCCCCTTCAGTAGGGGACAGTTCCTGCAGGGGACAATGTCCCAGTGGGTGACAAATGCCATCCCTGCAGCACTCCCATGTTCCTGCAGCCCCTCTCACTCTCTCCTCACTAACCACACGCTCACCATGGAGCAGCACAACCCCCTGGCGCTCTGGCCTTGCCTCCTCCAGCAGAAATTCTTGCTTCAGCCAACGCTCAGCATAACAAAAAGCTGGAAAAGCTAGCAGCAGACTAAATTCCGTGATCTGTTCCGTCATTTCTCYAGACAGGCTTATCCCCTGTATATATTTCTGATTCTTTCCTTGGTGTTCAACACCCCCCCATCTCTCTCTGAAGGCATTATGTGATAATTACAGCTGGATGGGAGGGGAGGCTCTGAACCTTMAGTTCATTTAACACAATGCACTCTCTGTCAAGGCATTAACACAAATGCATCCTTTTAAAGGGTTTGGACCCTGCTCATGGCCTAGAGAGCCTGGGCCTTCCTTATGGGATTCAGCAGAGCTCCACTGATAGCTGGGAAGCCGTGCTAATCTGCATCAGCTTGGGATCTGGGCTTTCTTTGATGATATTTGCTGTCTGAGCCACTGGAGTGGCCATTGTGCCAGTTCTGGAGAGATTTGTGTAATTTCAGACCTGGCCTGGAGCTTCACCATCTGCTGGCTTTGGTTCACTTGTGTGTAGTGGTTTTTAGAATCAATGTCCACTCCGGTTTTAGGGGAAGAACCTGATATTTTAGCAACAGTAGCATAAGACTCATTTTGTTGTTTTTTCTTTAGGAATGAATCTTCTGACCTATGTGAGAACAGACTTGAGCAAAATTAAATCAGATGGTTTCGCAGTGACAGTTGTGCCACCCACTGAATTATTATTTGGATGCCAAAATCCTACTGGAGTTAACACTTTCTTGCAGTTATTCCTGGGGCTGGTGCTATATAGAAATGGATTCTTCCCTGTATAATGGATGCCAAGCTTCAGACCTATGGCATAAAGTATTCTGCTGCATTGGCCTTGCCATGATTTGAGTGGAATCGTGCTGTCAGACCTCATGGTGCTGGGGTAGAGCCTAAATTCTTGGGAGCAGTTCATCCCTTTGACATCATCTCTTTGGTTTATCCGTAGCCCTGCCTAGGTAAATGCCTTGTGGTCCTGCCAAAGCCATGAAAAAAGAACCATCTCCTACCACCAGCAAACTTTGGAAATGATCACGAGCCCCCAGCCTGGTGGGGGTCTTTGCTTGCTGATCTCTGAAAATAATAACTTGATGCCTTGGGCCAGGAGCTTAGTAGACTTATACTGTGTCCTCCAGTGAAAGATTGTAGCTCTCTGCTCTTGGAATGTAATAAAAACACATCATCAAAACCTGTCGATGGCACAGAGGCTTTGTTTTTTTGTTTTGTTCCAGTATAAATTCTTCTCCTCTTGACYGAGTTAATCACGTTCCACCCGAGTTTTCTGGTTTTTTTGCCATGAATGTGCACAGCTGCCAGGACTCAGTTTTGTTGTCAGAAGCGTGAAACTGGAATGATTTATTATTTATAATTTATAATAATTCCACTGTACCGCAATCCCCCCTAAACCCTTGGGTCTCTTTGTAATCTGGGTGCCTCTCTGTGTCTCTCCCCGTTGTCCTGTGTGTTGTTTTGGGGGGAAATATCATCAAATGACAGCCCTGTACCTGCTTGTATTGACTTGTTTTGCTTTTGTGACTGAAGGCAAAGAAAGAAACCAGAGTCAGGCAGCATCAGAAGAGCCTTCCGTCAAAGTGACAGCCACGGCCTAGGTAGTGCCCTGGCAGAACCCGCCTCCCCCGGGGCCATAGCCGCTTCCAGACCCTCATCTCAGCCCATTTTGAGCCAAAGTCTTCCCAAGGAGGTCCCAGACAAATGCTCCATCAGTGGCCACGGCAGCCTGAACTCCATCAGCCGGCACTCRTCGCTCAAGAGCAGGATGGAGAGCCCGCAGCTGCGCAAGGCGGTCACCGCCGGCCGCTCCAAGAGCTTCAACAACCACCGGCCCATGGACCCCGAGGTCATTGCACAGGTCAGTGATGTCCCCAGGAGCTGGGAGAGKGTGGGGTGCAAGGAGGTGTTGGAATCTGCAGCGTGGTTTGTGSCGTTTCCATCAAAATCCTTGTAGGGATGAGGGTGATGCTGTATCCTGAGTTACCAAAACCCGATTCTGGACAGATTTCAGAGAATCCAAATCAATTCTGTTATTGCAGCCCCTTCAGGTGCATCCAGGGCAGTCCCACACCCACAATGGACAATGGCTCACGGGTTTTTCACCCTTTCTCACTTTTGTCCATTTTGGGGCTGAATCCTCCAATTGCAGCTGCAGCCAATGCAGTCATTGACTCCAAGTTGGCTCCCCCCAGTTCTCTGTTGTTTCCATCTCAGGGAGGTGTCCTTGASTTTGGGGCTGCAGAGGAATTGTTTTGTGTAAAAATGGGAGAAACTGTCTAATAACCATCTTACACATTTCCCCGACTTCATAAYGAAAATGCACAGACAGAGCTCAGCACTGTCTGTGGAGTCTGGAGTTAAACACTGAAGAATTCCAGGGGTACAGAGACATGGAAATAGAGAATCTGAAATCCTGAGGCATCACCACTTTAGGATGTGCCTGCACTTGTGTTTGTCTGTCCCAGCCGTGTGCGGGGTGGGATGGATGGGTCTGTGCAGAACCCAGGAATGCTCAAGGCTCGGGTTATACTGCCCTGACTGCTCTGCCTTCCTCGGGGCTCTGCAGGTTCCTCAGGGGCTGGCGGCAAATCCTGGAAATTCAACATTTTTATTGACAAAACAGCAGCTCCAAATAACAAACAAGGTGCAGGTTAAAACCCTCCAGGTTCAGTTCTGGGAATTTGTGTTTTGCTGTTTTTGAGTGTCTTCAGCCCAGTGTGCAGCTCCTGTTGTGTTCAGATTCCCCTGTCCTTCCGAGGCTTTGGGGGATATAAATCAGATTCTTTGTTTTTTCAATCAGCCTCTYACTGAAGTGGTTCTGTCTCCTCTCCTTGCCAGAACCTTCACTCCATTGTTTCACTGGAGAGGAGTCTGGGGACAAAAAGGAAAGAGGAGGGGAAAAAAAAGATAAAAAAGAGGAGGATGAACCCCCAGGCTGTGTTAAATCCGTGTTTTTCTCTGTAGTATCTGCTCCAACACTGTCTAATAACCATCTTACACATTTCCCCGACTTCATAACGAAAATCTGCCAGGCCTCAAGATAGAGTGGGAGGTGTCAGATTTCTGCCTCTGCTTTTTTCCACCATTCCTTGACTGATTTACCTTCCCCACCCCCTGAAAAACCTCTGAGGAAGCTGGAAAGCTGCAGCCAAAAGTGTGAGTCACAGCCAGGCTGAGCTTTCTGCTCCCCAGGGAATTCCCTACACTGCTAGGCTCTCCAGTAGGTCCTGAGACAAAAAAAAAAACCCTGTTTTTATCTCCAAACTTTATTTTATTTAAGAGCTGTACTATTTTTTAAGAGGAAGGAGAAGTGCCAGTTTGGATTTCTGCACGTGTCTCTGACATCTTCTGTGTTTTCTGAAACCATAAAATTTTTGACTCCTGTGAAATACATTYCTGAGAGCAGCTCAGACAGCAGGAAAACCACTGAGGCAGCAGGAGCCCACGAGGTTTTCAGCATTTCAGTGTGTGGCCCTTCAGCCAGTACCAAAACCATCTTTCAGGAATTTTCTCTCCTGAAGGAGAAATTTTCTCTCTCACATCCCAAATAAACTGCAAGAACRGGCACCAAGGCTTTGCTTTCTGTTCCTTGCTGCAGTTTGGGGCTCTGCTTTGAAGTCTGGGCAGTGGTGAAGGACCAGATCAGCATCGAGGCAGTGCCAGCAATTATTTTCCTCCCCCTTGGTGGAAAATTTTTGCAATTATTGGCTGTAGGACGCGATGCTGCCTGGTTTGGTCCTTGACCTTCGAGGTTGAAAAAAAAAAAAAGGCTGAATGAGGCCCTCAGTGCCATGGTTTGGTTGATGAGGAGGTGTTGGGTTTGATGATGGTGGAGGTCTCTCTGTGTGATTCTGATCTGAGCGTTGTTTAGACAACAAAAAACCTGCTCAAAACCTGATTTTTATTTTGTTTGCTGTGTCTGGGCTGTGCCTTCAGCATCTCCCTGTGCTGTGCTTGCAGGACATCGAGGCCACCATGAACTCGGCKCTGAACGAGCTGCGGGAGCTGGAGCGGCAGAGCAGCGTCAAACACGCGCCCGACGTCGTCCTGGACACGCTGGAGCCGCTGAAAACGTCCCCGGTGGTGGCCCCAACATCAGAACCCTCCAGCCCCCTGCACGCCCAGCTGCTCAAAGACTCGGAGCCGCCCTTCCAGCGCAGCGCCAGCACGGCCGGAGACATCCCCTGCACCTTCCGGCCGGTCAAGGCGGTCAAGGTGGTGGCCACGCCGGGGAAGCCGCCGGCCACGCGGCCCAAACCGGCCGTGTTCCCCAAAAGTAGTGCCACCAGCCCTGGTGTGGCCTCCTCAGCRCCCCAGCAACCCCCTGATAAATCCTGTACTGTGTGACAGCTCCCTGCTGCTCTGCGGGGCTGCTCCTGCTGTTCCAMACTCTGTCACAGACACCCCAAATTCCTGCTTGGACGGATTCTGGGCTGGGAACTGCTTGTTGCTCCCACAGCCACGCTGGGGAACCCCACAATCCTCGATCCACTGTGAAGCTGAGCGGGAAAGGCACCAAGGGACCGGGTGGATTTCGAGCGTTCAGAACATTTGGTGGCCGTCCTGGTTTTGGATCCTGGTGTAGTGACTTCTGTATTCTGTGTTTTCATTTATCACAGGGAAACAACAATAGGATAGATTTTAGTCTGCTGCATGTTTTGGTGCCACCGGTTACGTGGAGCTTGGACATGCCTGTTTCTTGTGCATTATTATTATTATTATTATTATAATTATTATAATTATTATTATTATTCCGTCGCCCGCTGGTGCCACGGTGGTTAAGGGTCTGTCTCGACTTCCATCACATCCTCTGGTTTTGTTTGTTTGCTGCCCATTCCTCCCCCACCCCAGGGCCAGAGTTGCCTCATGCTTTTCGTTGTCATGGAAAAAAAAATAGTTTCCTCTGGAACGCTCTTAGATTTTGTGGAGTTCRACGTAATGTGTGTCTGTGCAAATATAAACAAACACGTTCCTGAGGTCTGCGAGCACAAGAAGGAGCCCAGTTGTTGCTCATGGACAATCTTCACCGCTTTCCCCCTTTGCTGTCCCCTATTTAAAAGCAGCTTTATTGCTCCCAGTGTCATTTCCAGCCCGTGGGCTCTGCTGTGGTGTTTGCTCTCGGGAGACTGAATGTTAAAAAAAAGAAAACAAAACCAAGCTAATTCCACAAATCAGCATCCTCTGGTGGGATTCCATTCCCAACACGCACACTCCTGCCCTGCCCACCCTCGGGATGGACCCTGACCTAATCCCAGCACTAAGCACTGTCAAAACTTTGCTCAGGAGTTGTGGAGCTCCTGCCCAGTGAGCTCTGGGGATCTCTGCTCTCATAGAGCAGGGCAGGGAGCTGCTGGGGACAGCGAGGGGACAGCRTGTGGCTSCTGGAGTGGCTCYATRTGGGACYGGCCTGGCAGAGAATTCTTGCCTGGTTTTATTTATCTGTGCACAGCAAACGCTTCAGCCGGACCCACGGACTCGTTCATCCCCCCTGGGAACTCTCCACAGTGCCCACGTTTAATTAATTTAATAATTAAAACGAGGCACGTGCCAATTAGGAGGGGAGACTCTCTGACCCTGAGCTCGCCTCGTTCCTCGGCTTTTCTGGGATTTCAAACGCTGCACGTCTTAGGCTTCYGTCAAAGAACAAATCCCGGCGAGGACAAGATCAGAAAAGTCCTTTTTCTCACCCATTTAAGCCATTTCCTTTCGGTTTGTGGGTTCCTGGTGACGGCAAAGTCCGTTTAATTGGCACTTAAAAAAGAAGAAACAAAGAAGAGTTGCAGAATGTCCTTTTAGGATGTTGCTTGGAACAACGGGATGGGGTTTTCCTGCGTCCCTGTCCGTCCCCACACGCACAACCCCCTTTCTCCAGAAGCAATCAATCCCTAATTAATGATGGCTTTTCCCAGGAATTGGGGAGCACTGGAAAGGTTTTGGTGAGGACATTTCCCTGTGTTCCATTCCTGCTCAGCTTTCCCTYGGGAAGCGCCACGGTACGAGCGTGACTGTCCCTGTCCCTTTCCAGGAGATGCCACCGGCRCCACCAGCGACCTTTGCTCTCAGGTTCTGATGGACTTCTACCACCAAGGAATCACTTGTTCTTTTGG